CTCCCCTCCCCCCGGCCGCCTCCCCGCTGCGCTGCCCCCCGACTTTCTCAACTTCCCGGGTGCCCCGACGCGGCCCCCGCCCCGCCGGAAGTGGGGTCGGAGCCAGGCTCACGACCCGGCCCGACGCTCTAGGCCGCCGCGAGGGCTGGGCTTCTAGTGCTCCTCAGTCCCGACCCAGCGGGCGGCAGGCAGCTCAGCCCCGGCCCGCCCGGGCTGCCGGCCCTCCCCTCTCAGCTCCCGACATCCGCTGGCTGCTCCGCGGGTCGAGGAGGCCAGAACCCGGCCTGCGCCGGATCGCCTCACCTGCGCCGTGGCCACGCTCCGGGGGCTCCCGGCGGGCTCCGCAGCGGCAGCTGGGGCTGGGCCTGGGCCCGGGGCGCACCCCCCTGCGCCGGGGCCTCGGCCTCCGCCTCCGCGGCCTCCGCCTCAGCAACAGCGTTAGCCGCGGCGGCCATTCATTGTGGGCCAGGCCGTTCCAGCCGAGCGCCGAGCAAGCGCACGCAGCGCCGCAGCCGGGCAGGGAAGGAACGGTCGAGGCCCCGCCTATGTACCGCCCCAGGCCCCGCCCCCAGGCCCGACCAGCCGAGTTCCGAGCGCGTCCCTGCTGACCCACTCGGTCTCCTCCCTCCTGCGCCCCCTCGGGGTCCTGGCCAGTACAGTACCTTGGTTCTGCAGACTGACTAGCTCGAATTCCTGTCCCTCCATCTTCTAGTCTTGCAACCTTGAGTAAGTTGCTCTGCCTTCCCGAACTTTAGTTTCCTGTAGGATGATAAAAACAGTAACGATGCTATTTATTGCCCCAGGCAGTTTCTCAGCCCTTTGTGGGAAGTACCTATTTGCACAAAGAGACTGTAAACTTGCTCGACATTTTACAGTAAGAAAGTGATGGAGGGTACCAAGATTTAAACCCAGACTTAAAAAAAGACAATAAAAATTAAGATTTTTAGCATCCTTACGCGATGCCAGTTTTCACACGTTAAAAAGTTCCGCCCCTTTAAAAAAAAAAAACTTAAGCAGAGGTAAGAGCAAATAGCGAAAAGCTGAAACCCACGCGACTGGGGGCTACCTTCTCCTGCTTTTGAGTTCTGGTTAGGAGCTCCTGAACGATTTCTGTGCTGTGACTGCTGCTTTGCACATCCCCTAGATATTCTCTCGTTTAATCCTTGCTCACCCTTGGAGGCTACGACTCTGATTTAACAGGTAAGGAAAGCGAGGAGGCAAAAGTGTAAATAACTTGCCCAGACCATGTGGTGGGAGTAGGGTTCAAGCCCAGAAATCCAACTCCACAATATTTTATTCTTGCAGGGTATTCTGAAATGATGTGTGTACAGCACCCAGGAGACAGGCGGCATCAACGGGTGTTGAGTTCCTCTGCTCACTGCCCCTGGAGCCACAAGTTCCTCTGCCATGAAATAGGATTAATGACATGTCTCCTTGGAGGAGAGCTACTGTATTATTTAAGGCCACACGCAAAGCATATGCGGCGCTTTTTTTATGCAGGGAATTTCGATCGGCGTCGCCCACCACGAGTAGCGTCAGTGGTTGGCTAAATCCCGTCACCTGATCCCCTGCCAGCATGGCGGCGCCCAGGTCCTAATCCGAGAAACGTGCGCCAAGCATAGTTCGGTTCCCAGTGCGAGCAGGTGAGCGGAGCCAGGGTGGTCCCGGGAGGAATACGGACGGGTAGCGGCCCCGCCCAGAGGCTCCCTGATCGCAGGGATCAGTTCCTCCCGAAAACTGGGTTTCCTTGGCCCCTGCTTTGTAGATGCATAGGCCACCCTGCCTGGAGTGCAGTTGTCTGATCCCTTCTCCACCCTCCTCGGCCCCTTCAACTAGGCTGGGCGAGCAGAGGCGCCCGCGTATGTCCCATGCGAAGACCGTGCTGTGGTTAAGCCTCACTCTCCGCACTGCTCGAAGCCTCTCTAGAGTCCGGTTTATGGAGGGGCAGCCCCACGGGATGCAGAACCCAGGAGCGATGGAGAATGGCAGTGGAGCCCGCGGAGAAGAGCGCCAACCTGCGACCCAGGAGACCATAGTCACCGAGGGGGCCGCCAAGATCGTCTTCCCCAGCGCCAACGAAGTCTTCTACAATCCCGTGCAGGAGTTCAATCGGGACCTGACGTAAGGAAGGGTCAGGGTCCAGCCTGGCAGTGGGGAGCGGATCAGTGAGTCTAAGGAGGTTACTGAAACAAGTCTAGGCTGCCTTTTGTTGACGTTAGAGCTGGAAGGAATTACGTTTATTCAAGAGGCGACAAGTTGATTCCATCTTGGGGTGGTGGTGGTTGGGGGACAGAGGACTAAGTAGGAGAGGAAGGGAGGAACAGTGGGGTCCTCATTTCCAGGCTGTGACTTCTCACAGCACACTTGGACCTGGGGCCAGCTCCTGTAGTTCTTTCTAGAGGGGCATTGCTTTTCTGCGGGTAGCACTTCACAGCTATTCCTGTTCTTTGTGTGAGTTGATAGAATTCAAAGGAGTTACAAAGGTCACCAGATGTTCTCAATTTTGTAGCTGTGAAGGCAGATTTTGCATTTCCTGTCTTAACTATGTAGGTGGGGCAACTCTAGAATGAACAATGCTGGGGCCAAGGGAGGTGACCTGAAAGGGTCAGGGTGGGGCTACACCCTTGAGGAAGGGCAAGGGTGTACCCTGGAGGAGGAGAACCCCAAGGGAAGAGGCCTGTCACTAGGGGTACAGGCTTACCCACTGTCTCCTGCCAGGTGTGCTGTGATCACCGAATTTGCTCGAATTCAGCTTGGGGCCAAAGGAATCCAAAGTGAGTGGAGAGCCAGGCTTGGGTGGGGGAGGAGATCAACCAAATCCTTTCTCTGCACCTCCTTCCCTCACCCATCCAGATGTGTTCCTGCCACTTTGCAGACCCATGACCTTTTCTCCTTTCTCCTTAGCCCTTGGGTTCTGGGAAAGACGTTTTCCTGAAACTTCAGTATTCTGAAGATGAAAGGGGGGGGGCATTGATATCTCCTGACTTGTGTCTCTGGTGGCCTTAGTCAAGGTGCCAGGGGAAGAGGACACCCAGAAGGTGGTTGTGGACTTGTCAGAGCAAGAGAAGGAAAAAGTTGAACCTAAAGAGGGTGAAAGCCTGGTCCCTGGAGACCAACATCGAACAGCCGCTGTTGGGGAGATCTGTGAGGTAAGGCCTGAGAGAAGGCAGTGGCAGCCCTGGAACCTAGTGAGTGATAGGGGACAGGGGGCTCCTGGCGTGGGGAAAGGTAGAATAGGTGGTGGGACTCTAGGGCCCATAAGAGGATGAAACTGCAGGTATAAGTGAATAGCCTTGCTTATTCCAACAGGAAGGCCTGCGGGTGCTGGAGGGCCTGGCAGCCTCTGGCCTCCGTTCCATTCGCTTTGCCCGAGAGGTGCCTGGGCTCCAATCTGTGGTTGCCAATGATGCCTCCGCCCGAGCGGTGGATCTCATACGCCAGAATGTGCAACTCAATGATGTGGCTCATCTCGTCAAGCCCAGCCATGCAGATGCCCGGTAGGTCCTGGGCAGTGCTGCCTAGTGCTGAAAGGTATACTCTGGGGTAAGGCTGCCTGGGGTCAGATTCTGGCTCTGCCTCCCAAGTACAACCTTGGGAGACTAGCTTTGTCCTTTGGGGCCCTAATTGCCTTGTATGTCAAAGAACAACAGTTTATGGGTGTTGCAGTGATACTTACATGATAGATACAAATTTGTAATCCAAACCTTGGCCAAAATAAGTGTAATCAAGATGGAGACATTCTAAGAAATGTCACCATAGCTTTTTGTTTGTTTTTGAGACAGGGTCTCTGCCATGTAGATCAGGTTGGCCTTGAACTCACAATGACTCTCCTGCCTCAGCCTCCCAAAAGCACCACCACACCCAGCTCCATCCAGTCTTTTTTTTTTTTTTTTTTTTTGGCAGAACCAGGGATTGAACTCAGGCCCTTGTGCTTGCCAGGGAAGCACTTATTCTACCAACCCATCTCCCCGGCCCCCAGTCAGTCTTGTGGGAATATGATAGAGTGTACTTACACGAAATAATACAGCTGTAACATCAGTAGATGATATAATCTCACCAGGCCCTAGTTGAGCCCTGAAACGAGGTTATGTGGCATGTAATGTGCTACTGTGGCTTCCACTTTGGGTGTTTTTGTTGTTGTTTGAATTATTTATAGTACTGGGGATTGAACCTAAGGCCTTTTCCCTGAAGTACATGCCAAGCCCTTTTTGAAGTTTTTACTGCAATACAAGATTTTGTGAAGTCACTAAGTTGCCCAGGCGACTTGAACTTGTGATCTTTCTGCCTCATCTTTCCAGAGGACTGAGATTGCAGCCATGTACTGCTATGTCCTAGCTGCATGAACTGAAGGCCTGAGACACGCTAGGCAAGCACTGTACTACTGCGCTCTCAGCCCCAGCCCTAGTCGTAACTGCCTGTGCTGTTTTTGTTCATTCTAATAATCCCTGTGTGCCAGGAACCACCCTCAGTGTCAGCTGTGGTTCAGTAATGTTTAAAAGTTATGGTCTTTGCAAGAGTTGGAGAGTTGGTGGACTACAACCTGCAGAACTTACACACCCACCTCCTTTTTTTTTTTTGGTCCTTTGAGAGGGTTTCACTCAGGCTGATCTTGAACTCACTTTGTAGCCCAGGCTGACTTCTGATTTGCAGCTCCTGCCTCAGCCTCCTGAGTGCTGGGATTATAGGTGTGTGTCAGTGCCACCATAGCCAGCTTTTTGTTGTTGTGGTTGTTGTTTTTTAAATTGAGGTGAGTCTAGCTAGGCTATCTGCCCTTGAACTCAACTGTAGTCCAGGCCGGTTTTGAAAGACAGCCTACGTCTGGTGAGATGGCTCAGTGGTCTAAAGCACCTACTTAGAACAAGCTTAGCAAAGCTCAGGGACCGAAGTTCAATCCCCCAGCACCACATGCCAGCCAGCCCCGCCCCCTGGTGGGCTGAGCTGGCCACACACACACACACACTAAATAAATAAATAAAATTTAAAAAAAAAAAAAGAAAGACAGCCTACCTCTTTATGGATATGAAAAACCAACTGCATGTTCTGTATTACTATAAGGTGTTATCATTGTCCGAGGTTCTAGGTGAGTTGGCTACAGTTTTGTTTTGTTTTTGTTGGTGCTTAGGGTTGAATCTCATGCATACTAAATAAAGCACTGTGCACTGAGATACACTGCCAGCCCTTTCTTCCTCTTTTTTGAAACAGTCTCTAAGTTCCAGGGGCCGGTCTGATACTTGACATCCTTCCTTACTCTTCTGATTAGCACATGGACCTCATCAGGCTGACTGAGGCCTCCTGTGTAGGAGGCAAAATCATGCAGATAACGAACGGCCAAGCAGACAACGGGCACGTGCCTATAATGTCAGCGTTTGAGAGGCCAAAGCAAGAGGATCACTGCTAGGTCAAGGCCAACCTGGGCTATATGGTAAGGCTCAAGAAAACCAAAAACATCACACTGAAACAAGTGGCTGAGTCAGGATGTGAACTTGGAAATCTGGCCCCCGAGTAGTGGTAGGAATTCAGACATGTAGAGGCAGAGCAGGTGCTTGGGGTGGGGAGCTGAGGAACTGCCCTCTCACACCCAGGATGCTGATGTACCAGCACCAGAAGGTGTCTGAGCGCTTTGACGTCATTGACCTGGACCCCTATGGCAGCCCTGCCCCCTTCCTGGATGCAGCTGTACAGGCTGTGAGTGAAGGAGGTAAGGAAGGCTGGGCTGGCGGGCAGGATAGGCTGGGTGTCTGGAGGGCCTTCAGCACCTGCTCCTCCCCACAGGGCTGCTCTGTGTCACCTGCACTGACATGGCTGTGCTGGGAGGCAACAGCGGGGAGACATGCTACAGCAAGTATGGGGCCATGGCCCTCAAGAGCCGCGCCTGCCACGAAATGGTAAGGGGCCCTTCCAGGTCACCAGGACGGGTGAGGCACAGGTGCCTGGCCTCCTGCAGCCAGGCCACATCCATCCTAGGTAGGAATGAATGTACACTGTTTGCTAGGATCTAGTATTCTATCGCTTTTCTAATACTCTTTTTTTTTTGTTTTTGTTTTGGCGGAACTGGGGATTGAACTCAGGCCTTTGCACTTGCCAGGGAAGTGCTTATTCCACTGAGCCATCTCCTCGGCCCTTTTCTAGTATTCTAAACACTTTTTTTTGAGACAAAGTCTCCCTGTATAGTGTAGGCTGGCCTCAAACTTGCAGAAGTCCTGCCTCAACCTCCAAAGTACTGGAATTACAGACATACCACCACCCCTAGCCCAACGTTTCAAACAATTTTTTTAAAAATTTCTTTTATTGGGGCCAGGGAGATGGCTCAGTGGAATAAGCACTTCTCTGGCAAGCACAAGGGCCTGAGTTCAATCCCTGGTTCCACCAAAAAAAAATGTTTTTCTTTTATCGCCACACTGAGAATTGAACCCTAAGATGCTCTACTAGTGAACTATATCCCCCTCTCCCCCCCCACCCCCCTGCTTTATTATTTTTTGAAACAGGGTCTCAGTAATTTTCCCAGGCTGCCCTCAAACTTCAGTTCCTGGGCTGGGGAGATAGCTTCGTGGTCTAAGCGCTTAACTGGCAGAGAACCCAGGTTCAGTCCCCCGGCCCACATGCCATGCTGGCCACCGAAAGCGGATGTGGTAGCATGTGCCTGTAATCCCAGCACCAGGGAGGCTGAGAGGAGAATCACTAGGAGTCCAAGCTTCGTAGTGAGACCCTGTTCCAAATAAATAAAAAGATTAAAAAAACACAAAAACATTCCTTCTACTTAAGCCTCTTGAGTAGCTGGGACTATAAGCACACTACTCTTCCTATCTTTAAAAAAGAGAAAGTGTTTTGCTGAGCACACGCTACCTCTCAGTTACACTCCGAAGCCTTCTTACTTTGCCAGGAAGTCTTCGATTGACAGTCCTGAACTAAAGTGATCATTCTGTCTCAGCCTCCTGAGTAGCTGGAAACAGGGGCAAGCTGATGCACATAATTTTGTTTTTGTTTTGAGCCAGATTGTTGGTATATAGTTCAAGCTGGCCTCAAACTTGCAATCTTCCTATCTCAGCCTCCACAGTTGCTGGGATTACAGACATGCAGCCTCTATCTATGGAAAAAAAATTTTTATGTTTTGAGACCATCTCGCTATGTAATGCAGACTGGTCTTAAATTCACTATGTAACCTAGATTGACCTTTAACTCAAGTGACCCAACTGCCTCAGCTTTCCTAGTGCTAGGATTACAGGTGTGGACCACCATCCCTGGCTTGGAAAAAAAAAAATTTTTTTTTTTGGAAGGTGATTTTTGCAGGTCTAGCTCCAAATCCAAACTTTAGCTAGTGGCTCTGAGCAACTGACTTGCCCTGTGGGACTTAGGGTTTGCGTCTGTGAGGCAGGTACAGTGCTGGCAGCCACCTGTTAGGTTGCTGCAGGGACTCGAGGCAGCGGTGGGCTGTGCAGGGTTCTTGTTCTGCTTCCTTAAATTTGCCATGATCAGTGGTGTGAGAAATGCCACCTCCTTTGCTGGGTAACACTGGCTTGCCTAAGACCAGACAGCCAGAATTCTGGAGGTTGGGCTTGGAAGCTCTAACCCCAGCTCTTTCCTTTTTTTTGTATTGGGGATCAAACTCAGGACCTTGCACTTATGAGGAAGGCCTTTATGCTGCTGAGCTGTCTCCCTGGCCTGCCTTTTTAATTTTTGAAACAGGTTCTTGCTAATCTCTTAAGTGCCCTGGCTGGGCTCAAACTTCTGATTCTTTTGCCTCAGCTTCTTGAGTATAGGAATTACAGGAATGTGCCACCACTGCTGGCCTCGTAGGTTTTACTGAGCAGAACTGAAGAAGTACACACTCAGGGTCAGCTAAATAGCTCAGCGGATTAAAGCACCTGCTTACACTGGCGCAGGGACCTGGGTTCAATCACTGGGATGCCATGCTGGCCCCACCCCTAGGGCCTGACTGAGACTGGGCTTGTGGCATGCCCCAGTAATCTCAGTGCTTGGGAGGCTGAAAATGGGAGGATCACTTGAGTCCAATCTGTATAGTGAGACCCTGTAGTCCCTGTATTAAAATAAATTTAAAGAAAAAGTATACACTCAAAGAAGATATGACACAAGGCCTCAAGACAGCCATGTGGAGCCTGCCATGGGGCACTTAGCACAGCTGATGGGTAGGAGGTGGGAGTGGCGCTGACACTCCCATGTGCACCCCCCACCCAGGCCCTGAGGATTGTCCTGCACAGCCTGGACCTTCATGCCAACTGCTACCAGCGGTATGTGGTGCCACTGCTCAGCATCAGTGCAGATTTCTATGTGCGTGTTTTTGTTCGAGTTTTCACTGGTCAGGCCCACGTGAAGGCCTCAGCCAGGTCAGTGGGGAGGGGGGGTTGGGGGGGCAAGTTCTGTGGGGGAAACTCTGAAAGAAGAGTAGGGTTTCTGCCCTTGTTGAGAGCTCATGGCTCTGTTTGTCCCCAGCAAGCAGGCGCTGGTGTTCCAGTGCGTGGGCTGTGGCGCCTTCCACCTGCAGCGCCTCGGCAAAGTAGCCACGGCCTCCAGTGGGCGGTGAGCAAAGGCTGCTGGGAGGAAGGTGGAAAGGTATCCCCGAGCCGCTGCCCATAACTACCCCCTGCTCCTGCAGGGTCAAGTTCTCTGCAGCCTGCGGTCCCCCTGTGGCTCCTGAGTGTGGACACTGTGGGCACCGACACCAGGTAGGGTGAGGCAAGGGGCCCTGGGATTCCAGGGGGCCCAAGTGGCACCTGCTGATGTGTGCCTCATGTGCCCGCCCATAGCTTGGTGGCCCTATATGGGCAGAGCCCATTCATGACCTCGACTTTGTGAGACGCGTACTGGAGGCAGTCAGCACCAACACCTGCCGCTTCCATACCTCAGAACGTATCCAAGGGGTCCTCAGTGTCGTCACAGAGGTAGGGGGCTGGGCTAAGGGGGGCTCTCCATCTCCTTCCACCTTCAACCCTCACACATCCTGTCTCCTCAGGAGCTTCCAGATGTGCCCCTCTACTACACACTGGACCAGCTAAGCAGCACTATCCACTGCAACACGCCTAGCCTCCTACAGCTTCGGTAAGGGCATGGGAATGAGGAGGAGCCTGCAACTGACCACCAATTGACCCTGGGCTGATGGGTGGAGTCCGGCCCAAGAGGGGACCAGGGGCAGGGCTTGCAGCTGACCTCTGATTGGCCTTAGACCATCATACTTGTGGGTACTTGCTTTTTGGGGGGGGGGGGGCAGAGCCAGGGATTGAACTCAGGCCCTTGTGCTTGCCAGGGAAGCGCTTATTCTACTGAGCCATTTCCCCAGCCCCTGGGTACTTGCTTTGTGATCCATGGTATATTTTTACTCTGAGAGACACACAGTCCTGTCTGCTTGACTCACCCAAGTCAACTGGGCTTTGGGAGAAAGCCTCCCTTGCACTCACTCTACTGGTCCCCAGATCCGCCCTTCTCCACGCTGGTTTCCGGGTCTCGCTCTCCCACGCCTGTAGGAATGCAGTGAAGACTGATGCGCCCTCCGAGGCTCTCTGGGACATCATGCGCTGCTGGGTGAGCACAGGGCTGGCTGTCTGGGGCAGGCAGGGCGGGCAGGAAATGATCTCAGCAAGGCCCTTCTGCCCCCAGGAGAAGGAGTGCCCTGTGAAGCGGGAGCGGCTGTCGGAGACCAGCCCTGCATTCCGCATCCTTGGTGTGGAGCCCAGGTAAGAGCAGCATGGGTGCCACAGGCAGGGGTGCTGTCCTCTGTGTAGACAGCAGCAGCTTCCTACCCACCTTCCCTGCCTTCTGTCTTCACTCTGATCTTTCCTTCTGTCCCCTTTGATCCCTACCATCTGTCCTCTAAGCAGCCAGGTGCACCCACCAATGAGTCCCAACTTGGCCCTTTGCTCAGAACCCTCTGTGGTTCCCACCTTCCTCGTAGACACCAACATCCTGCCTGGGCCCGCCGCATCTTGCCAGGCTGCTCTAATCCATTCCTCACTCTCATAAACTGCTCTCTCCCTTACTGGTTCAAACACTGGGCAGTTGCCCTTCAGGGTCTTTCCTGCGCTCTTTCCTGGTCTCCTTCCCTTCCTACCTCCTGCCTGCCTTGAACACCCCCGGCACACACAATACCAGGAATCCTGATGCAATTGAATTGGCTGGGGTTCTGTGAATGTGTGCCTGGGGGTGGAGCCCAGAGCCTCGAGCATGGCTGGGAAAACACTTGACTCTGAGCTACACACCCAGGGTGTGTGGATTTACCCTGTTGCTTGTTTCTCTACCACACCAGAACATGAGCTTTACCAGAGGAAAGGTCTACTTTCTTATCTGTTCCCTTCATGGAGAGCAGTGGAGACTTAAAAATAAAAATAAAATTTTTTTAGGAAGTGAAAGAAGCCCTTTATGGTGGCATAAGCCTATAATCCCAACACTTGGAAGTAGAGGCAGAAGGATCACAGGTTCAAGGCCAGCATGGGCAACATAGTGAATTAGGGATACCCTGTCTTGATATGTAAAAATAAAAGGGGCTGGGGATGTAGCTCAGTATAACAGCCCTGAACCCCAGTACCACAAAAAAAATATTTAAAAAAGAATAAATCCTGACATAGCTGGGTGTGCTGGTGCATTTCTCTAATCCTAGCATTTGGAGGCTGAGGCAAGAGGACTGGCACAAGTTCAAGGCCAGCTTGGGCTATATAGTGAGACCTAACATGGTAGGTGGCAGGCACTTCTGGTGGTTGCCCCTGAGCCCATATCTACTTTCCCAGGCTGCAGGCTAACTTTACCATCCGGGAAGATGCCAACCCCAGCTCCCGCCAGCGAGGGCTCAAGCGCTTCCAGGTCAACCCAGAGGCCAACTGGGGGCCCCGGCCCCGTGCCCGGCCAGGGTGAGTGAGTAGCTGTGGCCACAGCCCTGAGGTACAGCTCTGTCAGGGCTACACGTGGTCCTAGTTTTTGGTCTGTGCACAGGGGCAAGAATACAAGCAAAACGGAGGAGAGACGTAGGCTCAGGCAGAATAAGCGGAAGGAGCTGAGTGAGGACCCAGCCCAGCAAGCTGCTCGCCTCAAGACGTTCCCTTGCAAAAGATTCAAGGAGGTAAGGTGTCAACCTATCTGCACTGCTGGCCTGAAGGGCTCCCCCTAGTGGGCAGGCAGGCCTTGGGACAGTCCAGCTGGGCCAGTGCTTGGGCTGCTGAGCTTCTATAAGCCTCATAGCCACCATTCTCCCACCAGGGCACCTGTGATCGAGGCGACCAATGCTGCTATTCACATGGCCAACCCACGCCTGGAGCCTCTGCTGCCCCCACAGACTGTTTGAAGACCTTCAGCCCGAGCTCCCCAGGCCTGGAGCCACCACAAGACCACGTGTAGGCTGAGCCAATAAAGAGATGTTGGGGCTGGGGAGATAGCTCCACGGACAAAGTGCCAGCCTGGCAAGAACAAGGCCCTGAGTTCAAGCTCCAGAACCAAAAAATAAATTTTTAATTTAAAAAAAGATGTCGCACTCCACCAGTCGTCATCCCTAGGGAGGGTGGGAGACAGAGTCTTGCTATATAATATATTGCCCAACCTGGCCTGGAATCTTTCTACCTCTGCCTTCTGAGTGCTGAGATACAGACACGATAGACTACCACTCCCAACAGCAACTGTCGTTCTGTGTGGGGCTGTGGGCTGCCTGTCTGCACAACTCCAACTGCAGGACTCTTCACGAGTTTTACTACCCCAGAGAACTGTGTATCTGCTTACCTTTTGGACTCTGGGTGGCTGTTGGAATTGGCTTCGACTTTTAAATCCATCTCCCCCACCCCCGGTGTTGGGCACTGAACTCAGGACCTTGTGCTTGCCAGGCAGGCACTTAAGCACTGAAATATCTCCCCAGTATCTTGACTGTTGGAATTGGATTCTGGCCATCTGCAGGGTCCCTCTACCAAGGTCCTGAAGCCTGTCCAGCTGCCTCCTGTTCTTAAAATGGCCACTGGGCGGCAGCCCAGTGCACTCGAGCCGGGGCTCCTCCCCACCCACTCTCCAGCCCCTGGGCCTCCGTGTGTCCGCCCGCCGCCTGGTTTCTTCAGCCTAGCTCTCTTGGGGCACAGCAGGCGGAAGCCAGGCCGGAATCAGGCGCCCTGCATATCCGCCCCAGGCCAGGTGTTTCCTGCTCTACAGCAAGGGCAGTGCACACCGCCAGGGACCTGCAGGCTGCTGCCTGAATCCCCAGCAAGGGGAAGCCGCTCTCCCCTAGAGCACTCAGGCAGGTGGTCTAGTAAGCACCCTCGTGCCCAATGTAAAGTGAGGCCTGTGGTGGGTGGTCAGTGGGGTGAGCTGAGGGAAGGCTCTTTGCCTTGGCCCATTTGGGGAGGGTGGTGGTGGTGGTAGTGTTTGGTAGTGTTGGTGCTGGGCGGAGCCTGGGATTCGGGCATTGATTCAGGTACCGCATCACCCAGGGTAAAGCATGGCTGACCTGTGCAGGACACAGCATAGGGAACAGTGGCCTTGCTGCTACCTGGACAAGGGACAGTCCACTATACTTGAGCCCCTCGATTTGTGTTTGCAGTGTGATCTTTTTGGCAGAGCCGGGGATTGAACTGAGGTCCTTGGGCTTGCCAGGGAAACGCTTATTCTGCTGAGCCATCTCCCCGGCCCCATGCAGTGTGGTCTTGAACACACCTTGCTGTCCAGGATAAGTGGGCCATGTTCTGTGCGACCTGGTTGAAGGTCACAACCAAATTGGGGTTTATAGGTGGGCGTGGCACCACAGCTGTAATCTCAGCATTTGAGAGCCTGAGGCAGAAGGATCTCCAGAGTTGGAAACCAGCCTGCACTACATAGTAAGACCCAAGAACAAAGCCGAAAGAATAAAAAGTGTCTTTGGGGGTTCTGTGGCCCATAGTTCCAGATTTGTGGGGACTTTGGGGGGGGGCTAATGGAAGGCCCCTTACTGGGCCTGAAAATGTGTGGAGAGCACCTTGGGGTGTCTGCCCAAACTAGCCATCCAACTGTGCCCCACACTGGGGGGGGGGCAGAGAAGCCGGCAGGGGCAGTGTAAAAAGAGGAACCTGGCAGAGTGCTGCAAGGAAGAAAGGGCCCCGGGGTCACGCGGCCTCAGCCGCCAGAAAGGGCGCCCTCCCCCGCAGCCACAAGGACACGGGCAGGGGGCGTTCAAAGCCAAGGGACTCCAGAGGCGAGGCTTCCCTGCCTCGGTTTCCCCTCGGCACGCACCCGGGCGCCTCCTGCAGGTGGCGAGAGAGGCGGAAGGCAAGACCTGGAGTGGTGGCCAGAGGCGGGGCCGGCCCGAGAGGTCCCCGCCCGCCAGTTTCCTCCGGGTCAGCGTGGCTCCTTATCAGGCGCGGCCAGGCGGCTGGGGCCCTTATCTGCGCAGCCCAGCATCCTCTGGCCGCCGGGTAGGGGCAGGGGAGGAAACCCGGCTGCCAGGAGTGGGGAGAGGGCCGGCAGGCCGGAGCTGCGCACTTTTAACAGGAGTCCACGCCGCCAGCGCCGCCACCGGGCCCCACAGGAGCGCAGCGGCCCAGACAGCAGACCGCGGCCTGGCCTGGACCGCAGACCCGGAGGGACAGAGCCGGGCGCTCACCAGGCTGCCAGAACAGCACTGGGGTAAGAGGGCACCGCCTAGGACCTTGCCTGCATTTGTGTCCATTCATTCACTCATTCATTTGTAAGCCCGGGGCCACTGAGTGAAGGGCCAGGCCATCTCTCAGGGCTGCAAAGGCTAGACCAGAGGAGGCAGGAGTCCCACACCTTGTGGGTTGGCCCAGACCCTGGAGCCCAGCACATAGATACTAAGGGAGGGTGTGGTGGGATGGGAGAAGACCCAAGACCAGAGCACAGTCAGGGCATGATTGGATGGGCCTTGGCAGTGTTAGGGTCTCGGGGCCAGCCTTCAGATAACAGTGTCAGAGTGGGGTCACAGGGTTAGTAAGGAGGACATCTGGAGCGGTTACAGGGAAGCCTCAGAGCAAGATGTGGAGGTGATGAGAAGAAACTGGGATCACTGTGCATAGCAAGGAGCCAGGATGGGGAGAGGGCATCAGAGTCAGTGTTGGACAGATCCCAGGACCACGTGGCTCAAGGAGTCAGTGAGAGCCAACAGCCATGTGTGGTGGCACATGCCTGTCACGCCAGCACTCTGGGAAGCTGAGGCAGGCACGTCACCATGGGTTGTAGGCCAGCCTAGGTTACACATTGAATTCAGGGTCAACCTGAACTACATAACAAGGCCCTATCTCAACAAGCAAAAGAGACAGAAAGAAAGAGGAGGGTTTCAGGATCAGAAATACAGATCTGAGGATTATAGGTCAATATCAGGGTTTTGAGTGATCCCAGGGTCAGAGAGTATTCTAGAAGCAGGGAAGTATGTTCAGAGATGGTCTAGCAGGCCCAGTGCTGCCCAGCCAACTGCTGGACCCCTGCTGTAGTGGAGGACCCCTCCCATATGGTGGCAGTTTCTGAATTAAGCCTCCAGTCTGTAAACTGAGCCTCTCCACTTTCCTTCCTTTTCCCCCTTCCACAAGGTTCTATTAGGCTAAGCAGGTGGGGGAGATGGCACCAGCCTTCCTCCCATCTGGCGGCCTTTTCCCCACAGGTGAGCACCCCGTCCTTGGGTCCATGTGCCCACCCCAAGCCCAGGCAGAGGTGGGTCCCACCATGACAGAGAAATCCGAGGTAGTGCGTGCTCCCAGCCCAGTGCCTGCCCCGCCCCCTAAACCCGCGTCACCGTCACCGGGGCCCCTGCCCCCAGAAGAGTTGGACCACAGGGGCGGCTCCCCCACCAGGCTACCCCCAGGCGTGCCAGTGATCAGCCTTGGTCACACTAGGCCCCCAGGGGTAGTCATGCCCACCACAGAACTCAGCACCCTTCGGCCACCTTTGCTGCATCTCTCAGCCCTGGGAACCGCCCCAGCCACCCTGGCTCTACATTACCACCCTCACCCCTTCCTCAGCAGGTCAGTGGGAGCTGGGCTGGGGTTGCCAGAGATGGGGGGGAAGTCCATGGCTACAAGGCATGTGTGACTTGCAACTCCTTCCAGTGTCTACATTGGACCGGCTGGACCTTTTAGCATTTTCCCCAGCAGCCGATTGAAGCGGAGACCCAGCCACTGCGAGCTGGACCTGGCTGAGGGTGAGTGCGTGTGTGTGTATATGTGTGCCCATATGTGTATGGCCCCTTGCTAGTGCACACACACCTATATACAGGGATAGGCACACAGGTCACACCCAAGGACAAGACCACAGTTCCATGGCCAGCGTCACTTAAGCATTGCCACTAACAAGCTAAGTGTCTGGGCAAAACCCAGCAGGTCCTGGCCTGTCTTGGGAGCCCCAAAGAAGACACAGGTCAGGGACCAGAGTCACCCAGGACACAGCCACACAACCACACAAGTCAGCCACACAACCACAGTCATGCATGCAACAGCCACAACCATGTGGTAACCATCACACACAATCGTAACCATCAGACCACAAGTCCCCCAGCCACATCACAAACTAGAAGAGTGACTCTCAGGACCATGAGCCACTGAAGATCAAGGCTCAACAGGCATAGCAGCCCTGGGGTCAAGTCTGGGCCCCTATGGTCCTTGTCTGAGGGCTTTGGAATGGGTACACGTGGGTACTTTGGATACAGAAGGTGCCAGCCCACTTCCTGATTTGAAGTCCCCACGAGGGTGCCCGCAGTGAGGACAGGAGAGGAGCCTGGGCCCAACCCCATCTCCTGTGCGCAGGGCATCAGCCCCAGAAGGTGGCCCGGCGCGTGTTCACCAACAGCCGCGAGCGCTGGCGGCAGCAGAACGTGAATGGCGCCTTCGCTGAGCTCAGGAAACTGCTGCCGACTCACCCGCCCGACCGGAAGCTGAGCAAGAACGAGGTGCTCCGCCTGGCCATGAAGTACATCGGCTTCCTGGTGCGACTGCTGCGCGACCAGGCAGCTGCCCTGGCCTTAGGTTCCGCCCCCCCTGGGCCGCGAAAACGGGCGGCGCAGGGAGGCCCCGGCTCAGGACGCAGCGCCGAGGCGGAGACGCGCGTGCAGCCCATGGTCCCAGCAGACTCGGACGGCAGCCCTAGCGGTGTAGCCCGGCCCATCAAAATGGAGCAAGTGGCCCAGAGTCCGGAGGTGCGGTGACCTTGTGCAGCGACGGCGTCTCTGAGCTGGGGGGCCCTGGAAACTCAGCCCGGAGCCGTCCGTGCAAACGGCGGACGCCTAGCATCACTGCTCCGGAACAAGCTCAAGCTCCCTGGACGGCAGCGGAGTGAGGACGTTTCCGAAAGAAAGGGGAGCTGTCCTAGGGATCAGGAAGGGCAACTGTCGCCCCCAGGGTACCCGCGGGCTGTTTTTCAAAAACCGCTGGAAGTAACATTGCCTGTGTCCCCGTCCTGGGGGCGAGGTCACGAAACAGGCCAAGCGGCCTCGGACTCTCGTGGTGCCTCGCTTTTCAGCGCCCGGGTCGAAGAAGGCCGCGAGGGGCTGAGGAACCAGCGCCTTCCCACTAGCGCCCCCTCCCGGCGGCGGGAGGACGTGTGCCCTGGACGGGGCGGCCCCGCCGACTCCACTTGACCCCCGCGCGATAGCGTCTGCGAAAGCTCAGGCACAGTTGCTTTTTTTTTCTTTATTTCTTTATTTCACATACACATTAGCCATTCAATGGAGAAGCCAGAGAGTCAGGCAAAGATGGTATAACAGAAGCGCAGTGACGGGGCGGGGCGGGGCGGGGCGAGAGGGGACAGACGGGCTGGCTACTTGCATTCCGCTAGGACACTGAAAACCCAGAAAACAAAACAGACAGTAAACTACCCTTGTTTCTTATGTATCTCAGTGCAGAGACGGGGCAGAGGGCAGGAGGGACCAGGCTGAAGGAGGAGGCGCAGAGGGAGGGGCGCTAAGGGGAAGCACACCAATCCATTAGTACTATATATAGATACTCGTATATACTGCGTTTCTTAGCCTAAGAAGAAACTTGTTTGACGGGACGGGCGGCCTTGCGGTCCGCAATGCTGGTGCTGGTCGGGCGCACGGATCTCCCGGGAGGGGCAGAAGCGGGGCTGGCCCAGGCTGGCTTGCGAGGGGATGGGGGCGCCCCGAGGGGGGGGGAGCAGAGGCGGGGCTGGGGTGCCCCTCGGACTCTAGATTGGGGGACAAAAGTTCTCGTGACTTTATTGCTCCTTTATTTTCTCTCGTGTGTGTGTGTGGGGGGTCCATTCGGCACGGTCAGGTGGAGAAGCAGTGGGTCGTCTGAGCCACCAGGCCCCTCTGGGTCCCAGAGCGCGGCGTCCGCTCCGCCAGCACGGGGGTGAGAACAAGGCACTAGGTCGGCCGGCCAGCGCGGGGCGGGTGTGTAAGGCAGTCACGGGCGGGCGGGCGGGGCGGGGGCTGTGCGGCCGTGTGCGTGCGTGCGTGCGGGCGCCGGCCTGGGCCGTCGGGCTGGCGAGGCCTGCCCTGGAGCAGCGAGCCTCGGGCTCCC